GAGGGATGTTTAAAATAGAAAATCAATTTTGTGGCTCTGAAGAAGCCCAAAGTTGAACAATTCAGAATAAAGATAAATAATTGAATAATTTCAGCCTCCAGATCCTGAAAAACTGGAATGCAAGCTCTCCAAGATGAAACAATTAATGATTTTTGGAGCAACCTATCGCAAGAGTACCCAAATATTACAAAACATACAGTTTGTGTTCTTTGCTACAACACGCTTTGTGCTCCAACAAAAACAAAAGAAATGAATAGACTTGATGTTGCCACTGATAAGAAGTTCTGACTCAGCCCCATTGTTCCAAATGTTAATATGCGATAGAGATATAAGATAGAGTTCACTAAAAAGCTATTGGGTATGTTGTGTTTGATAATGAAATATATAAACCAAAAGATGCTTTATTTTGTTCTTATATTCTTTGTTCATTCTCACTAAAATAAAATTTAAGTTATGTTATTGTCAGTGATAGTATAGACTAAAAGCATATAAAGTATCAATGATAAAAATACCATTCAATATAAATTAAACAAAACCTTTGAACAGACCTTTCACAAAAGAAAATCTACACAGCAAATAAGCACATGCAAAGCTGTTCGACATCACTAGCCATAAGGGAAATGCATATTAAAACCAAAGGAGATACCACTACATGCCCAGTAGAATGGCTAAAATTAAAAAGATTGACAACAGCAAGAGCTAGTGAGATGTAAAGAAACCAGTGTTCTCTTTAATTGTGTAAAACAACAAAAACATACTCAGTTCTGGAGGGCCAAAGTTCAAAATCAAGGTGTAGGCAGGGCCTTCCTCTCTGGAGGCTGTAGGGGAGAGTCCTTCCTTAACTTCCTCCAGCTTCCAGGGGCTGTTGGCATCCCTGTCTTCTGGCTGGGTCTCTCTCTGCTCCATCTTGACATCACCTCTCCTCCATATGTCTGTGCCTAATCTCCCCCTGCCTCTCTGTAATAAAGATATAGGTGGTGGCATTTGGGATTCACCCAGAAAAGCCAGGATAAGCTCTCCCTCTCTAAAGATCCTTCACAGTTACACCTTTTGCCATGTAAGGAAATATTCACAATCTCCAGGGATTAGGATGGCTGTCTTCAGTCACTGCACATCCCAAATGTCCATCAGCTGGTGACTGGATAAATCATTTGTGATACATCCACAGAGAAGACTCTACTCATTCACAAAAAGGAACTAAGTACTGATAAATGCAACAACATGATTGCATTTCAAAAGTATTTTAAGTGAAAGAAGCCTGATTCAAAAAGCTACAAATTGACTCCTTTATATAAATTCTGGGAAAAGCAACACTGTAAAGATAGATAACTGATCAGTGGTTGCCAAGGGCATGAGACATAAGAAGTAGATTGACTTCATAGGAGCAAAAGGGAACCCTTTTTTTTCCCACAAGGGAACTTTTGGTGATGATGGAAATATTACCTATTTTGATTACAGTGATAGTCACATGACTGTATACATTTTAAAATTTATCAACCTGAACACATTTGAAATTGGTGAATTTTAGAGCTGAGCACAGTGGTATACTCCTATGGCTTCAGCTACTTAGGAGGCTGAGGCAGGAGGATCCTTTAAGACCAGGAGTTTGAGACTGATCTAGACAACATAGCAAGACTTCTTCTCAAAAATAAATAAATAAATAAAACAAAATAGGTGAATTTTATTAGATATAATGCATGCCTTAATAAGCCCACTTTGAAACAAGCATAACAAATTTTAATAATTTTGTGCATTTAATCTGAGACCACTATTTGGTCTTTACTTTAATCAAAATTCATATTATTATGAGTTCCTGGTAATGTGTCAATATGTTAAAAATTTTCATAGTTCTATGGTTTAAAAAAGGTTTAGAAAAATGCATGAAACATCATCTTTAAATTTTTAATTTATTTTCTTCTCTTCTTTTGTCTCTCCTCTTTAGAATATGTTACCAGTTACAATGAAGAGGCTAAAGTAAGAATTCTCTCCAAGACCACATTTGTTTAATTGACATGGCAGCCCTTTAAGTTTCTGGAATTTCCTCTAACTTCCCAGGCCCACAAAATTTGGTCCCTAAACACACTGCATCCCTGTCCTAATTAGTTTCTGGCCCTTATTGCTCTCCATTTAGATTCATTCTCCATAGTGAAACACCAACATTACCTTTCAAAAAAAAAAAATCACTGGGTGCACACCTGTAATACCAGTTGTTTGGCAGGCTGAGGCAGAAGGATTGCAAGTTCAAAGCCAGCCTCAGCAACTTAGCAAGGTCCTAAGCAACTCAGCAAGACCCTGTCTCTAAATAAAATAAAAAATAGGGTTGGGGATGTGGCTCAGTGGCCGAGTATCCCTGAGTTCAATCCTCCTCAGTACAAAATAAATAACTTCTCAGGTGATTCTAATGTGCAGTCAGGCTTGTGAACCACTGACCTCCACCAATTCAACTCCAAGTGGTTGCCACTCATAGTGGGAAGTGTGGATGGGTTGGGAAGCAACTAGAACGCCTTCCCTCTATCAGCACCATTACTGTGGTCTGCCAAAAGGGTAAATGCCTTTTAAGAAGAATTACCCTGAACTCTAAATTAATGTTTTACAATGAAATAATATTTTCTTAATCCCTTGCCTTATATAAATTTGAAAAACAACATACGATTTTCTAGCCATTCAGTTTGGCTTAAACTACTGGTCATGCTTGGTGAGTGTGTGTACCCAGGGGATCCCTTCCAATGGTTCTCTGGGCTTTTGCCCACTGGCTTGGAAACAGCTGCTGCCTTCCACAACCTCCTTTACAGATGATAAGCGACAGGACCATCATAAAGGGTGCATGGAGGGTTCTGCTGTCTTGCGGTCTCCCAAGACTACCTGTGTTTATGTGTGCGGGCACACAGTGCGGCCGCCCTGAGTGCCTACAGCTAAAACGAGGAAGGCAGCTCAGGAGTCCACCTACAGCGCACAAGTGGGGTATGACAGGCCAGGAGAGAACTGGGCATCATCATACCCATTTTTGTGGGTAAGGTGGGATCCTTTAAACTATATCCAAGCTGGCCTGGCCTATTCTATGTGCACTTCCCTCTTTCTTTTCTTGAGGCCGGTGAACTAAAAGCGTTCAGATGGTTAAAAACAAATAAACTAAAACGAAATCTAGAAAGCCCATCCTCAGTACATCCCTGGGAATCCATAGTCTGGTGGCTACCAAATGGCAGGTACTGGAATGTGTCTACACACCCCCTCCCAGGGTCCCTTCGCCATGCCTCCCGATTTCTCTCACTTCTCTGTGCCACCTTCCCACCTGTGGAGGACGCACTTGCGGGAGAGCTGGGAGAAGCCCTGGGCCTCCCCGTGGGAACGAGCCAGCGATCGCTCTCCCCAGGGGCCTGGCGCGCCCCCTCCCTGGCTTCAGGGCGCGGAGTCACCGGCTGTGATCGCGTTCCAGGCAGCAGGCGGGCTCCCGCTCTGGCCGTGGCGGAGGGCGGGCGCCTGTGATCTGCGTCCAGGACGCGCGCGCGCCGAGCGTCCCGGGTTGCCCGCCTATGATCGCGCGCCAAGCGCGGCCCCGCGCCCGCGCTCTCGCTTTTCCGCCCCCGCGGACTCGCCGCACCAAGCTCCCCCGGAAAGTGCCGGGGACCAAGGGTCAGTGGAGCGCTTGGCTCAGGCCAAGGCTGTGGTCTGGTGAGTGCCCCCGAGACCTCGTGCATCCACCTGCACCCCGCCATCCACCAGATCCAGCGAGGATCCAGCGAGGCACCCCCAAAACTTCCTAATGCCGGCTTGCTTCTAGACGGAACCGCGGAGGGGAAACAGCCTAAGGCACAGATCGCGGACCTTGGGGTTGCTTGTCGGTGCGGAGGAAGGACAGTGAACGCGTGCCCAGTTGGAGAGGAAGACCTCTCTGGCTTGGTATTTTAGTTCAACGCGGGGTGTTTTTCAAAGCAGGTGTGAATAGTTTAGCAAGAAAACATTTCTCTTTTAAATAGGTCCCTGAGCAATCTGAAATCAGACAAAAGCCTCACATTAGCATAGGGTGTGCATAGCCACCTGTTCAAATAACTGGGGCAAATAGTGGGAAAACGGCCTTGGATAGAAGAAAAGAACTCAAAACCAGTGCAGATACTTGAACCCGGGTGAGTTGAAGGATTAAGCTTCTTTGCAGTACCGGCAGCAGCGGGGTCCGGTGGTATACCCCACTTGTAATAAGAACTTGCATGGGTTATTTTTAGCAGCCTATCTGATTCCATTAGATGAGATTGCAGCTTTTTTAGCCTTGGCAAAATAAAAATATGGGGGGAAAAAACCTTAAGAGTGCCTGAATCCAGCAAGCATTGTATTTGAAAATCCTGATTTCAGGTCATGGGTGAACAGATAGGAATTCCACAAACAAATAGCCCAGCCCTGGAGTCTGTGTCTAAGATTGTTGTTACTGCCTGCTTCCACTCCAAGAAAACAAAACCATGATTTCATCAGCATTAATTCTTAATATTTTTGAGATGTTATTTTACATTTGTTTTGTGGCGTAAGAGAGGAGCGGGGGAGGGAGTGGGAAGGAGAAAGGAGCCAAGAAAAACTTGACTAGGGAGAGTGGGTGGGAGATCAAAGGGTGTCGAAGGTGGGAGAGGACCAGAGCCCAGCAGTGTGGGAACAGAGCCCATTGATGCAATGGAGATGGTGGCAAGAAGGGTCCAGAACCACCCTGAGACTAGAGCAAGGGACCTCTTCCCTGAGCCCCTTCTAGCTCTCCTTGGTCCTGGTTGTCCCTATAGGGTGAAATGACTAAGAGCCTAGAGGGCACACCCATCTAGCGCCCATTCCTTCTTGGTGCTTGGTAACAGAGTGGGTTCCTAAGCCATCAGCTGGGAGCTGGTTGGAAACGCAGGCTCTCAGTTCTACCCCAGACCCCCAGCTTTTTAATAAGATCCTCAGGTGGATTGTAGGCACATTATAGATCCAGGAGCAGTGATCTTGACCACTCAGGGTAGAGAGGATCCAAGAATGGCCTGTTCAAGATGGCGGCTTCAGAACATGTTACCCTCACAAGGATGAAAGCAGCTGGCAACACTGCCGGTGTGAGTAGCCCTGGGTCTGAGTGGGTCCTTCTGGGAGCTAGGGAGGAGAAGACCAAACATGCTTGTGCCATCTGGGATGTCTTACCTGGTATGGGCTATGTGTGAGACAGCTCCCCTCATACTTCCACTTTTCAGCACAAAACTCAGAGAGTCCAAGATTCTAAATTTTAATCACACCTTCCAGATAGTTAAAATGGGTTATTAAAGTGGGAGGCTAACACATATTGTATTCAGTACTTCATTAACTTGGTTTGTAGCTTTACCTATTTAGACCTGTGATTTGTGGACCTCCAATCATGTTCTTGCCCTGGGCCAGAAAATATTAGGGCTGGGCCCTATAGGTCATAGATGTTTCCTACATTAACAAGAGGGAACTCAGAAAGAAAGAGTCAGTGTAACATTGCACTTCTTAGCATGTAAATGCATAGTCTCTAAGCAGTTGTTTAAGAGTTTAATCTGCATCTGAATTTTTTTTTTTAATGTTGAGATGTCCGTGACAGTTGTTTGCCTTAAAGGAGGATTAACTTCAAGAACAAACAGAATTCAACTTGTTCAACTAACACTCAGTATGAAAGCCATTCATTTTTTCAACCGACACTGATTATTCTTCCATTATGGCGCAGACACCATGTTTAGCTAGGCTCTGATGAATGAGACCTGGCTGCCCTCAAAAATTCTCTTGACCACTTAAGCAGGTTAAACCTCTCTTTATGAAGCAGGTCTGCTTCTTCCAACTTCCTTCTCCCTAAAATGATGAACTCCAAGTCAAATGCTCCGAGATCCTCCAATCAACTGTTACCTGGAGTGGACCTGAGGGATAATTTGGCTTTATAGGCAAGACAGGCAGGTGGATAGTGCTTAAATTTGTATATATATTTGACAGCACAAAGTAAAGGCAAATTCAATTGCTTATGTATTAAGTCTTTTTTAGGATATTAGTCATTTCCTTATTGTGACTTGATATTATTAATGAAATCTGGTTGTTGAAATATCTTCACTGGTAAAGTTTCTGTCCTGTTTATCAAGGATGCGTTCTTCCCTTCCTGATGGATCAAAAACACCCACTCCCTAAAACCAGGTGTCGCATTCATTGCTGCTTCTGCTGGGGAGAAAGCCCTTGCTAAACTCATGGTGAAGTACTGGTCACGTCATGTTTTACAGTTCATATCCAGTCTCTTATTTTTCAAGGAAATTCAAAAGCACAAGTATTGACATGAAAAAATGACCAATGGTGGCTGCTCCAGCATTAGTGGGGAACATATTTTCCCCAATGCTTCTTAAATCACAACACATGCCAGCTACCTGGTCTACTGACTCAAAAACTCATGGAGAAGAAGAGGCTCTCAGCCCTTGTGAAATGAACGTAGTGATGTTCATCAGGCAAGGCTGACCCTGATATAGAACTTGTTCTCAAAAATGCCGTCTTCATCAGTAGATTAGAACAAGTAGACCGGGGGAGAAGAGGAAAAGGGAAGGTGCTGGGGAATGAGATTGATCAAACTGTTAGGTACAGGTATAAATAGGGTACAGTGAATCCCGCTATTACGTGTAATTATAATGCACCAATTTAAAAGTGCCATCTCCATTCCAATGACCAAGAGCCAGGAAATCCATTAAGCTGGAGTCCTGTACTCATTAGGGGAGGAGGGAACAAACCTGAGAAGACAAGGGAACCAGCCTTTTCACTAAGATGGCACCAGAGTCAAGAAGGAAGTTCCTACCCCTTTCAAAGCCCGAGCTTTGAAAGCTCTGAAGGCCAAAGAGGCAGTGTTGAAAGGTGTCCACAGCCAGAGGAAAGGAGATGTCCATGTCACCCACCTTCTGGCAGTCCAAGATACTGCTCTCCCAAGGCAGCCCGAATATCCTTGGAAGAGCTCCCCCAGGAGAAACAGGCTTGACCACTATGCCACTGTTAAGTTCCCTCTGATCACGAAGTCTGCCATGAAGAAGACAGAGGACAATGACACACTCATTGGGGACGTCAAGGCCAGCAAGTACCAGGTCAAACAGGCAGTGAAGAAGAAGCTCATGACGTGGCCAAAGTCAGCATCCTCATCAGCCCAATGGAAAGAAGTGTGTGTTCAGCCAGCTCCTGATTATGATGTTTTGGATGTTGCCAACAAAATTAGGATTATCTAAACCTAGTCTAATTTATAAACATACATTTGTTTACCAAAAAAGAAAAAAAAATAGGGAACCAATAGTTAGAGATGGAAATGTTAATTACCCGGATTTTGTCATTACATATTATATCCATGGAAGGAATTGTCACACTGTACCCTATAAGTATCTACAATTAAAAAATAAAAAAGTCTTCATACAATAAATAAATAATCATCCCATCAAAAATCTACCTACAGACAGCTGTCTCGTCCTCCTCTGTGGCTGGCAGCCTGGAGGCTGGGCTGGCTTGTTGATACAGTCCTCACCTCTCAGCACAGCTGCTTGAGAAAGACTTGAAAGTCCAAATTCCACCAAAATGAGTTATTGTTTCATGTTCCTAATCGTCATCTGCATTTCTGCCCCCACACATGTAGATCAGAAGCTTTAACTTTATTACTATCTGGGGAAACACCAAGTTTCTCAGGAAAATTTGCCTAACCATTTCTCTCTGCCTGATAACTGATTTCAGGTGCCTCCCCAAAAGACATGTGGCAACAAATCTGGGCCCATTGTGCAATTGAGGAGCCAGGGTTTCCACAATGACTAGATCCTGATGTGGAGCAGACCACTCCTGTGGCTACTTGGAAGTTAAGCTGGACAGGACACAAAGTAGGCTATGTTCACCAAGCACTCTTTGACAGTGATATTCATGTATTCATAAAAAGGATTCTAAATTTGTAGAAATAAGTGAATATCTCTCCTAAAAGTGCCATGCAAAAACCTTTTCTTTTCTTTTTTTTCTTTTTTCTTTGTTTTGTAGAGCACTTTACCAAGCCCAGGGTTCATGTGGTCTGTCTTTTTAATGGGAACACAGTGATTTGGAACAGCAACACTAGAAAGATAAAACTTGATATAAAACTTCTACTAGCCATAGAATTCAGTATTCAAGGGTGTGTCTGAAGCTTTCTACAGGCAGATGAGACACTATTAAGTAAAGATCTACAGGGGCTGGGAATGTGGCTCAAGCGGTCGCGCGCTCGTCTGGCATGCGTGCGGCCCAGGTTCGATTCTCAGCACCACATACAAACAAAGATATTGTGTCCGCCAATAACTAAAAAATAAATATTAAAATTCTCTTTCTCTCTCTCACTCTCTCTTTAAAAAAAATAAATAAATAAAGATCTACAAGTTTGTCCTAACTGAAAGAGGCACTGTAACTTCTCTTTACATATTTTCCTGGACTTTATAATTAACCCATGCTCATTGTAGATAGTTTGGAGAATTCAAAAAGCCTACAAAAATTAAAATCAGCAATGCTCATACTGCTCAGAAATAATGATTTTTATCATATTGATTGTTTAATTTCAGAATTTTAAGGATGCAAATGTGCTTTATACATTTATCAAGAGAAAATAAATGTAAGAGACAATGTTCAATGTTTATAAAATGTTAAATACTTAAAGGTAACTTTTGTCACTTAATATTATGAGTATCTCAATCACTAAATTATCTTTGCAAAGATGATTTTATTCACTGTTTAATACCTGATTGCATGAGCATACCAATTTTTGACTCTTTGGAATTCAGTTTCTTTCCATTTTGGATATTAGAACATTGCAAAATAACATTGCAAAAATATCTCAATGTATATTTCCCCTCATTGGTATTTATAATTGTATCCCTAGAGTTGATCCCTAGAAGAGAATTTTTTAAGCCAAAAAGCAGGAACAGTTTGCATCATTCACATTTTAACCAGCATGTTTGATGCTGCTAATTTTTCTGTGTTTTTCCCAATAGTGTTTTCTATTTAACCCTTGGAAACTGGACAGTTCCCTCATTTTCACTGTATTTGCTAA